TCCATGGCAAGTAGACCATAACGTATAGCTAGAAAATTTGGTGGAGTAAAACTTAGGCAAATTTGGCGAATTGAGGTCCATTCACCAAATTTTTAGTCTCCAATTTGATAAGGCTCCATAGAAGCATACACAGGGTTAAAATTTGGCCAAAATTTTAACCTCCAAACCTCTTTTAGAGTCGATTCGGCAAATTTTAGCACTCTAAATTTTCTAGCTATACGGTGTATCCAAAATATTGGCAAGAGTTAAATTTGGTGATTTTGTTAAAAATTTTCAATTTAGCAGACATGAGTCAGTCATTGAGTGAGCTCAAAATGAAACAAAATGGTTGATTTTATGTTGACAAATGCTCATTGCAGCAACCAAAATTAATTCCCCAAAATATTATTAACTATATGGATAGTATACCCAACTCTGTAACGATGGACTCACCTGTCAGCAGCACCTGAAGATGCTACATAATGATCACGATGAAACAGAACAGATGTCACAGCAACCTGTTTCATGCTTACCTAACAAGGCAATTGTAATACATGTACATGTATAAACGATAGTTTACAATGGATTTCCTTCTGCTTGAAGAATTTGATAGTTTAATTTCTGAATTGTCTAAGTGAGCATTTGGTACTTTACTAATAGGAACAGTGAAACCATCTGTACGTAGGAGAGAGAGAGAGAAGAGAGACGGAGGGGAAGAGAGAGAGGGGGGAGAGAGAGAGAGAGGAAGAGAGAGAGAGAGAGAGAGGGAAAGGGAGAAAATACAGATAAGTGTTTTTTTAGGGTCGCAAATTTTAAATATTCCATGGATTTATTTTCTTCCTTATTTGCAGAAGTAAAATCTGCAAAAAATCAATTTAATACGGTACCCACAGGGTACGTGGCAAAATTCCCGAAATTAAAATCTGCAAATTGGAATTTTAGTAGATTTTGCGAAACATAATTCTCTTGAAAAACCCACTAATACAGTAATAAGGAAGAGAAGAGAGACACTAACCTTTACTGCTAGAGCAACGAGTGTCCCAAATTAAAATATTTCCTCCTCTACCACCCGAAACTACCACACCTGCAAGAAATAGTTTAATAATTAAAATGAAATGATTTACATGGATTTGATTCGTCGATATCAACTGATTTGACACTTCCAGTGTGACCTTTAAACCTCCTTAAAGCCGTACAGCCATTGACGTCCCACTGAACCAGTTTAGAATCACCAGATCCTGTTACCTAGAAAACAAGAATATTAATAAACACTTACTAACCAGTACAATGGCTACTGACCAGGTGAGTGCTACCAGAAAATGCAAAATCGAAAATTGCATTTTTATGTCCCTTCCATTCTATTTAAAATGAACGTAAAGCGAAAGAAATTATTTCACTGATATACCTTTAATTAGAGAATGCTGTGCTGGCTTTTGTGAGTTCAAGAGTTTAATAGATCCATCTTCATCGGCAGTGACCAGCAGGTTACCATGAAGACCAGAGGGACTAAATTTACAAGCAAATGGAGGCACCAACTCCTATAAAAGACATAAACAGCATAAAGTGTAAATTGGTTTTTACTCCTTCTCTTCCGTAAAAGAAAACGCTGTCTTCCGAGGTGCACTTGAACCTCTGTAGAAATCCATGTCCTAGAATATCTAAATAGAAGTGATTTAGATAGTTTGGCGGCTGTTCTCTCTTACCTCCTCTCTGGAAAAGAGCTCTCCTATCAGACACGAGACCAGCCATTGGGCGCCCTTTTACCCGCCAAAACAGCTGACTTATTAAGGCGTGGTCCACTAAAAGGCGTGGCTGCCATGCCCTTAATTAACTCAACCTTTATCTTTCGATATAAAACTGACCTGTGCAGCTTTGTTTGAGATAAAAAAAACCTCAGCAGTCAGCAGACTGTACAGGACAAAGACCTAGCTACTATATAGTAAGTTCAAACAAAGTCCATACTGTTAGTATTGCATCTATTATTGCATTATTTCAGGCTCAGTTCTTGATCATTGTGGACACACACACTGTTATCTATACAAATGCTTCTTTGGGAGGAGTAAAACAATGGAGGAGAACAACAATGTCACTGGGATATCGATCAAACCACTCCCACCTCTTGATACCTTGTCCCGTAAGGAACTGAGGGACTTAGTCTCACCAGAGCCGACCGATACAAGATACAGTACCAGGAGACGCTCATCGTTACACGAAGAGAGAGAGACCCTAACTTGCTGTACGTTTAGCAATCGTTCGAAAGCCTACAAGAATCTTTTAGGTACTAGTGCTTCATTCATTGTAGTTTTTGGATCGTATTTGGGTATCTTAAGTCTGCAGAGCTCAATAAATTCAGAAGCTGGTCTAGGCTTAGCTTCATCTGCTATTATCTATGGGACACTCATAATTGCCTGTTTCTTTGGCCCTGGGATGGTAAAACTCTTGGGTACCAAATACTCCCTCATTAGCGGCTACATATTATTTTTTTGTTACACTCTCTGTAACTATTACCCATCCTGGTACACTCTAGTCATTGGTGCCATTTTGAATGGTATTGGGCAAGCCCCACTGTGGATTGCTGTTTTTGGGCACCCCATAGCCATAGCACTACGATACTATGAAGACCTCAAAGAGACCCCAAATCATGCCATAGCTTTCTTCACAGGGATCATAGCTGCGTCCATAAAACTCGCTCAAATATTTGGAAGTCTCATATCCTCCATCATATTAGTGAATGTGGACAGCACGGAAAACAATGGAGCAACAAACCTCACCAATACTTCAACAAGCAATGGAGAATGTGTTGATACGTTTGGTCCTCCTATTGAGCCAGGCCCTATATACTACACGTTGATTTCTGTGTACGCCTTGGCTGGTATTATTGGGACTATAATAGCAGCTGTGTTTCTTGATCATTTG